GGGGGGGGGGAATAAACAACAGAAAACAATAGCAAGATAGTAGGGTCAAAACCATATCATTAATCACATTAAATGTAAATGGCCTGATCACCCCAATTAAAAGGCAGAGATTGTCAGACTGGATTTTAAAAAGAAAGGCCAAACTATGCTTTCTAGAAATACTCTGCCCTTTTAACAAAAGCTTCGATTTCAGTGCTTAGGTCCTACTCTTTCATCGAAATATTATTGCCTGCCAACGTTTGCTACCTTTAAAGTCATTACAGTAAACCAAATAAAACTATTCTGTTTTCTGAACCTCACTTCCTCCACATTGTCAGGTAAGTACAGGAACGCACTGCCTTTAAAGGAACTGAGAAAACAAAAAGGCACAACTCACTGACAAATTGTGGCAACATGAAAATAATCAGCTGAGCTATCCAGACCAGAAGTTTCTGCATTTCATGGCGCTTCATCTTTAAAACTGTATGCATTTCTTACGTCTCAAGGCTGGTCCAGATAAAGGCAGGCCGCCTTTCCCATTCCCCTGCTGGTCTGTTTCCGGACCTGCGCCCGCCCCCCGCCCAGGCCCCAGCCGCCATGCGCCGCAGACTGCAGCACCCGGGCTCGCGGCCCGCAGGCGCGGGGAGGGGGCCCCGGGCGGAGAGCCCGCCTCTGCGGCTGCCGAGCCCGGCGCCGAGTGGGCGCCCAGAGCCGGGGGAGGGGCCCGCGGCCGCGGCGCCGCCTGGGCCCGCCCGCCCCTCCCCGGACGACTACTTAAGTGGCTCCGGCGCCGCCCCAGCCTCAGTGCGTTACTTACCTCGACTCTTAGCTTGTCGGGGACGGTAACCGGGACCCGGTGTCTACTCCTGTCGTCTGCGCCTGCTAACCCGTAGCCACCATGGTGAGTGGGCCGTGCGCGGCGCCGCCCTTCCTGGGAGAGACGGAGACGAGCGAGCGGGGGCGGGGGGTCGCGGAGGGCCTCTAGCTCGAGAGGGCCGGGACCAGCGCTGGCCCTCCGAGGGCAGGAGGCGAGGCGAGAGGCGAGGGCGGGAGGAGAGAGACCCCCGTTCGTGGAGAACGGCTGGGGCCCGGAAGGAGGGCGGCCACCGCGTTTTCTTCTCGGACTCCGGGAAGGGATGGCTAGACGCCGGCTCCTCTCCGCCGTGGTTAGAACGCTCATTTAGCCCTCATCTCCTGGGCGCGGCCCCCTGAGACCCTACAGTCTTTTCCCGCGCATTCCCATCCCCCTTCCCTTCCCCCGCCTTTGGCGGGCGCGCGCGGGCTCTCCCCGCCCTCACTTCCTCCTCAACTAGACAAGCGGAGGCGGGAAGGGACAGGGCACAAAGGCGCAGGCGCGACCGTTACCTTCCCGCCAGAGAGCGGCGGGAGACCGCCACTGCAGTCTGCGCGTGCGCGCTGGGGAGCTGCGGCGCTATGGCTGGAGGGCGTGGCTCCTGTTGCCCTCTGTTTTCTTTTTTTTTTTAAATGAAAGCAAAAGATGAATGTGGGGAAGGGCTCCTTGTCAGTGTGCTGCACTGCGCCAGTGTATAAGAACAATTAGCTCCCCAAAGCGTGTAGAGACCATCTGTCCCTCCTTCCTTGGCCTCTCTGTTGCGTTAGGAATGCGTGTGGGAGCAGGTGGTGGCGGTGAGGGATTTCCAGGGAATGGAAATCGGATCTTGGTCCAGATCTGGGCCGCTGATAATCCCCTGCTGCGCCTTGACAGATGTGGAGGTGCTGGGCTCAGCCCAACGCCTGCGGGGAGTGGAGGATGGTAGATCATGGCAGTGCCTCTGCAGACGTGGCCGTTGTGCGCCTTTGCAGCTGCGCGGCCCCGCCGGCCTGGGAAGGGGGCCCGGGCGCGTGCCCCTGAATTGCTCATTCATCCAGTGCCGCAGCGCCCCGCCCCTCGTCCCTGAGGCTAGATATTTCCTCTGCTCTGCTCTGGACACGTGCTTCCTGTGCTGGTAGCTGCCCGGAAATCTTGCCACCTAGCCTAAAATGGGATTCTGGGGCCTGAGCACTGGATGGCTTCCACCCTATCTTGGTCTTCCAAGGGGGGAAGCCGTGACTAAGCTCTCTTGGTCTAGAAAGAGACCTTCCCAATTTAGAGGTGGAAAAGAAATTCGTTAGAAGTAATGTAGATCGAAAAGGTAGTGGTTCTCCCCTGGGAAAAGACTATTAAATTTTAATTCGTTTCAAAAGAGGAAATATGTAAGATTAAGATTCTCTAAGTATGTTGTTCTGCTTCACAGTCTCTACTGGAGTAGGTTAATCTTTTTAATCTCCTTTTCCACAGCGTGAGTGCATCTCCATCCACGTTGGGCAGGCTGGTGTCCAGATCGGCAATGCCTGCTGGGAGCTCTACTGCCTGGAACACGGCATCCAGCCCGATGGCCAGATGCCAAGTGACAAGACCATTGGGGGAGGAGATGACTCCTTCAACACCTTCTTCAGTGAGACCGGCGCTGGCAAGCACGTGCCCAGGGCAGTGTTTGTAGACCTGGAACCCACAGTCATTGGTGAGTTGACCACACTAACCCGAGTGAGATCCCAGGGGTCTGGGACAGGAGGTCTGCTCTGGGGCTCCCTTGATGCCCTGGGGTTGGGCAGGCTTGTGCAGGTGGTTAGTGATGGGTGGCTGCTTTGTCTTGCTCTTCCAGATGAAGTTCGCACTGGCACCTACCGCCAGCTCTTCCACCCTGAGCAGCTCATCACAGGCAAGGAAGATGCTGCCAATAACTATGCCCGTGGGCACTACACCATTGGCAAGGAGATCATCGACCTCGTCTTGGACCGAATTCGCAAACTGGTATGTTTATTCTCAAGAATTAAGTAAATAATGAACCTAAGGAAGACATCTGAAATAGCCTCTTTTTTCCAAACAGAACTGAAATGTAATAATGAGTGAAATGAATTATTCCTTTATAGTTTTTAAAAAGTTCATTTAAAACGTGAACTATTTGGTGTCACTTTATAAATATTAATGAAGTTATTTTTAATTAAGAAAAGTGTTTCTTGTCAAAATAAGATCCTATCCTTGGAATTGTATGAAAAGTGAAAATATATTTACTATGATTGTATACAAAAAGCAATAACTTGTTCTCTCTTTCCTCTTTTCTGACAGGCCGACCAGTGCACAGGTCTTCAGGGCTTCCTGGTTTTCCACAGCTTTGGGGGAGGAACTGGTTCTGGGTTCACCTCCCTGCTGATGGAACGTCTCTCTGTCGATTATGGCAAGAAGTCCAAGCTGGAGTTCTCCATTTACCCAGCCCCCCAGGTTTCCACAGCTGTAGTTGAGCCCTACAACTCCATCCTCACCACCCACACCACCCTGGAGCACTCTGATTGTGCCTTCATGGTAGACAATGAGGCCATCTATGACATCTGTCGTAGAAACCTCGATATTGAGCGCCCAACCTACACTAACCTTAACCGCCTTATTAGCCAGATTGTGTCCTCCATCACTGCTTCCCTCAGATTTGATGGAGCCCTCAATGTTGACCTGACAGAATTCCAGACCAACCTGGTGCCCTATCCCCGCATCCACTTCCCTCTGGCCACATATGCCCCTGTCATCTCTGCTGAGAAAGCCTACCATGAGCAGCTTTCCGTAGCAGAGATCACCAATGCTTGCTTTGAGCCAGCCAACCAGATGGTGAAATGTGACCCTCGCCATGGTAAATACATGGCTTGTTGCCTGTTGTACCGTGGTGACGTGGTTCCCAAAGATGTCAATGCTGCCATTGCCACCATCAAGACCAAGCGCAGCATCCAGTTTGTGGATTGGTGCCCCACTGGCTTCAAAGTTGGCATTAATTACCAGCCTCCCACTGTGGTCCCTGGTGGAGACCTGGCCAAAGTACAGCGAGCTGTGTGCATGCTGAGCAATACCACAGCCATTGCTGAGGCCTGGGCTCGCCTGGACCACAAGTTTGACCTGATGTATGCCAAGCGTGCCTTTGTACACTGGTACGTGGGTGAGGGCATGGAGGAGGGAGAGTTTTCTGAGGCCCGTGAGGACATGGCTGCCCTTGAGAAGGATTATGAGGAGGTCGGTGTGGATTCTGTTGAAGGAGAGGGTGAGGAAGAAGGAGAGGAATACTAATTACCATTCCTTTCAGCCCTTCAGCATGTCATACGCAGAATTTCAGCTTAAACATTAGCTGACAGGCGTTAGAGCTTTCTGTTTAGATTGTCTTCGCTTTCTTTTAACTGTGATCATGTTCTGCTTTTAAATGTGTCCCTGTAAGATTTTTCCATTATGTCTTAAAGTAAAGGCTTTAAGAAAGAAAGTTTGACTTCTGTGCTTTTTGTAAATTGATTTCTCCAATGCAGGATATACTAATACTCTTTATACCTGGAGGATAGAGTCTGTAACAGGGTGGCGGGTGATAACAAGAATGGCAGTTCCTGTCTAGCTACCTCTATGGGCAAAGGGAACACACTGGTCTGGAAAAGCACACACTGGATTTGGACACTGTTAATATCACCTCAACCAGTGTTAGAATCCAGGTCATACAGGGCTTGGAAAAATGATGTGCCAAAAAGTCATTCTGCTGACCCAGAGCTAATCTAGCTCTTGAGATTACTGGGCAATTATTAATGAGTTAAGTATAAGTAAGAAATTTGGAATATCCTGCAAATAATGTGACTGCTATTTAAAAGGTGCTGCCAACTTACCAACGTAACAAGAAAAATCTCAAAGTGACTCTTGAACAAACAGCTGGTTTATTAAAGGAATATTTGAGGGGCTGGCCCAGTGGCGCAGCAGTTAAGTGTGCACGTTCTGCTTCGGTGGCCCAGGGTTCACCAGTTTGGATCCCAGGTGCGGACATGGCACCACTTGGCATGCTATGCTGTGTTAGGCGTCCCACATATAAAGTAGAGGAAGATAGGCACGGATGTTAGCTCAGGGCCAGTCTTCCTCACCAAAAAGAGAAGGATTGGCAGCAGTTAGCTCTGGGCTAATCTTCCTCAAAAAAAAAATTTGAGCATGATGAGGTAAAAGTTGTGTTTCCAACCCTATAATGGGAGGAGGAAAAGCAGGATCAGAATTCCTGGTGATCAACAAAAATCCTGCTATAGGAGAAAACCAAATAGGAAGAATAAGCCACGTGCATTTGTAGAAGAGCACTGCTTTACAGGGGCATGAAGTGGCAACATTTGTAAAAGGATGAATTTACAATTTAGCACTTGGCATAGTTTACATTCTTTCACGTGTATAGTTTGACCACATCTAAAGGACTATAAAGATAGGCAAACAGGATACAAATAAGAGGATTAAACCTAGGAGAAAATGTGCATTTCAGATTCAGAAAGCGTAGGGACTATTATGGTCTGCTGAAGGTGTTGCTGTCTTCTTGGTTTAAGAGTAGAGAATACCAACATTTTCCCAGTTTTTTTCCTAGCCCATAAAGCCTGTAAACTTACAAAATAGTTGTTTTCAGCTCCTGAAAGAAACAATCTGACTTGGTATAGATAATTCAGGGAGAAAGCTGTTGGGTGGCATTGCAGGCCCAGCACAGCAATGCAAATGTAGCCACCACAGATCCTGGGGGAGGCAGATATCAGGGCTTTAAAGTCCTGAGGGGAAACCTGAAACTGAATTAGTGACCAAATGGGGATAGAAGGTTTTGAATTAGTGCTGAACTCACAGAGGAAGACCGTCTTGAGAGATCTGA